CTCTTACATTTTAATTAAGAATTTCTTAAAGCTTTACTACAGAATTGTTGAAATGAGATGAATGAATGATTTTTGCCTTTATCACCCTTCAGGTTTGGCAGTTCTCTACCAGTGAACCAATCTTTTCATCCCCATGTATCTCCACATCACAGCAAGAAATATTTTTTGGTTCCCATGATTGCTTTATCTACTGTTGTAGCATGAAAGGTCACCTCCGATGGAAATTTGCAACTACCTCAAGGGTATATTCAACACCATTTACTTTCCATAACCACAGTCGTAGCAGTGACGTGTTGCTGGCAGCAGCATCTACTGATGGGAAACTGTGGATCTTGGAATGTGAGAGTGGACAGTTGCAAAGTGTATACGAACTTCCTGGAGAAGTTTTCTCTTCTCCTGTGGTCTGGGAGTCAATGCTTATTATTGGATGTAGAAATAATTATGTTTATTGTCTGGATTTATTGGGTGGCAATCAAAAATAATAAAGTACAGTCTTGATTAGAATATACATGAGATGTTTGAAAACATTTTACCATTGTAGAGCATGTGGATATTATTATTTTATAAAAATTATATTTTGTTTAAGGAACTTATTACACTTTATTGGACAGTAACCATATTTTACTTCCTGTAGGAACAACAAATACTTAAAAAATACATCAACATATTTAGTAGCACTTTCTTTTAATTAGGCTAGAGATATTTTACATATCCTTTTTTTTTTTTAAGATTTTTTATTGGGGAATTGGGGGGATGGGAACAGCACTGGGGAATTGGGGGAAGGGGAACAGACAAGTTGCTGTCCTTTTGCTCTTCAGTCTAGTTGTGGAGGACGTTGCTTCACTGGCCCAAGTTGGCACCATCATTGCGCTTTTCCCGGGTGAGGCAGATTAGTCGCCGGCTTCTGGACGGCTACTCACTGCAGCTGCTGGCCGCTCACGCTGGCTGCTGGCTACACACGGTAGCCCATGGCAACCCACTGCCACAGGGGCTGCAGCCTACGCCGTCGCCGGCGACTCATGGCAGCCCAGCTCCAGGTTGAGCTGTTGTTCAGCATCTTAGTTGTGGAGGGCAGTGTCACTGGCCCTCATATGTGGGATCCAAACCAGGGCCCTCTGGCGTCCCAAGCCAGTTCTTAACCAACGTGCCACTCGGCTGGCACTTTTTTCATTCTTTATCAGGCAAATTCATTAACTCAGTTTCATTGGAGCTTTTCTCCAGGGTGTTTTCTTGTTCCTTCATTTGGGGCATATTCTTCTGTTTCTCCATTTTGTTTGGCTTTCTTTGTTCCTGTGCGTTAGATGAAATAGCTATCTCACAGTCTTGAAAAAGTGGACTTTGTATAGACTGTGTGCTATATGGTTTTGGCAGGTAGGCTTAAGTTGGGGTGGGCACGTGTGGTGCTTGATGTGCTGCCTCGTTGGCCAGAAGTAATTGGTTCCAGGCAGGGCAGCCTGGTGTGTGCACACTTCCTTTTCTCTCTGATTTAGGAAAATGGGCGGGGCTGCCTGGTGTGCCTGGGGCTCTCCCTGTTGCTTTGTTTATTATCCGAGCCTGGTCTGGGTGGGGGTGCTTTAAGTTTGAGCTTTGTAGCTCCCTAACTAGTTAGTTCTACACTTCGGACAAGGCAGCTCTGTGTGCACACACCACAGCACTTGGCTAGCTTTGCAGTTTCTCCAGGCAGGGCAGCCCTACGTGCAGGTACCAGTGTTTTGCTAGTTCTGCACTTTCTCCAGGCAGGGTAAACTGTGTGCAGTCCAGTAGGTGCATGCATTCATGCCCTGCCATATCCACTAGGTGGAGGGACCCATGTGTGGGGGCTATGGCACCCTCCTGATCCTGCTGGGATATAACTCTGGGCAGAGTGGCTGGGGTGCACTACAGTAGCCCTGCAGGTCAGCAAACCTGGATAGAGCACCTGCCTGCTATCCAGGTGCAGGGGCAATGTAAACAATGGTGCTCACAGGTTCCTCCGGTCCTGGAGAGTTCCAGCAGCTCCTGGAGAATGCTCATGGTTCCTCAGCCTTCTCCATGTGGTCTCGCTCTTTGGTTTGCTATGCAGAAGCTGTTTGGCCCTCAGTGTCTCTCAGTAGGCATTTCTCTATAGGTGTAAATTTGATGTATTCTTGGAGGGGTTAAGCTCAGTGTTCTGCTATGCTGCCATCTTGGACCCTCCTCCAAAATAGTATTTATCTCGATTACTGAGTTTTTGCACCTGAGACAAGTACCTCACGCACATCACTCATTTTGCCCTAGTCCAGCTGTGTGAGTCAGTCGGTCTGGCCTGGGGCCCGAAGCTGCATTTCTCACATGCTCTCAGCTCTTGCCCATGTTGCTGTTCCATGGCCCACACTTTGAGTTAGGAGGTTGTAGGGAGGTTGTAGGGTCATATCGTCTGAGACAGAGACCATTAGATTCCCACTTAGGATTGAGATAAACATTTTATTTGCCCCTAATTATTTCTTTCCAAAAACACCTAGAGAAAAAATATAATAAAGCATCACATTGAATGCCTTGAAATTTTTCTTTCTCAGCAAAAGCTATGTAAATATGAGCTTGCTTGAAATTAGTAAAAACATCAACTTGAAAAGGAAATTTCATCAGTGCCAAAGATCTTGTGGGTATTTTTTATTGAAAGATTTTTCCTTCAATAATTGACATTTTACATTAAAACTTTATACAACCAAAATCTCAAAATAATATTAAAATCACACTAAGGTATTTTCATGGTTAAGTCTACTTAATTTTATTGTTGGTAAAAATATTGCAAGACACTTGAAATTCTAATGTTTCTGCTTTAAAATAAGCAATTAAACTAAACGTCACAAGAGACAATGAATACATACTATAATTTGCTGATAACTGGCTAAAATGATAATTTAATAATGTATAAGAAACAATTGCACTTGAAAAATTTAAAAAGTAAACAAAAAACTCTAGTTTTATATATATAAGTCTATGAACAGAGTTTAATCATCTATAACCTTGCCAGGAGGAGTGTATGTTTGTTTTAATAAAAACAAAACAAAAAAAACAACCAACTGTATTTAACATAGCAATCATTCATTTCTTTTTAAAAAGTCTTGAATTTGTTTTTACAGAATTTCCCCCATAGTTTGTTGATCAGAAAAGACTGTAACACAACTAAAGCAAAATAACACTTCATTGGTATTTAGTGCAAATTTGGAGAAATTTTTATGTGAAATGTTAAACATGTAGCCTTTAGAAATTGTTGAAAATAAGTGCTATTACTGTGCTTTCCTCAGTATAATCTTTTAATGGTTTCAATGGAAACTTTTTAACTGAGGTATTTCTCCTACTTTGTATGGGCTTGGTGGTAGGTGAGCCAGTACAGAGTGGTCATCTACCATTCTTTGTTAATAATCTGGTTCTTTGCTTGTTCTCTGCCATTACTGTGATAGTATCCAAAGCTAACAGGATGAAACAAAAAGTCAATTCAGAAAAATTACTGTAGCAGTATAATTCCAGGGCTCTAGGTAGAAAAGTTGCTATTAGAAAGTGTTACATCAGTGAGGAATCCTTGAATATAACAAATGCCTATGTATTATATTTGATTTAGAAATGAACATCAATATGGAAAACGTGCAGTGGAATATTAATTGCTTCCCATAGCAATAAAAAAAAATCAAAGTTACACTGATTCTTAACAGTCTGAAGGTCCAGTATACTATATATTAAATCAAACTTGTAAGAGTACAACTATCCACTTGACTACACATGCCAGCTGCTATCATGAGGCTGAGACATCATTTCCAGAAAGAAAATGCCTTCTATATGGTAAATAACTTTGCTGTCATCTTTTAAGGTAAATGATAGAATAACAGCACATTGCCTATTGAGTGAGCATAAAGGAAAATAATGGTGCATACTAATAAAATGTGTTTTTATAGAAGAAAAAAACATGTAACTCCCCCTGCACTGGGCAAAGGATTTGTACTTATATTTTGGAGTCAGAAGCTAAGAAAATGGGGATATGCCAACACCATGAATTATAAAGTTAGTATCAGCAATGTGTGGGTTTGCTGTTTGTCTATGTTTCATGTAGAGCAAATTTAGGGAAATAAGTGAATATATGTGGCTTTTAAATTGCCAAGTCCCTTCTTTGTATCACATGTGTATGATAACAAGGCCACTTAAAACTGATGTTTTTTTAAAGGTAGCAAGGTGAATGCTAAATTATAAATGCTACTGAACATTTGACTGTAAATATGAATTACTCGATTATGGTAAAGAAAGCAACTTCCCACAGGAAGCCCTTAGTACAAAGGCTCCAAATGTTATCTGCCTGTTAACTTGCCCTAAAGTCTTAAAGGAATTTCAGGCATGTAATGTCAATAGCCTCTTGTAATAAACGGGTGGTTTGGGGGTTGTTTATTATTTTTCCTGTCTCACTTTTGCTTCTTTGGATGAAATAAGTTTCCCCTTCAGAGTATGAATAACTAGATTACAGTAGAAGCAGTGTATCCCAAGCTTCTCAACTTCTGGGATATATCCGAGTTTATGTGAAGCGTTTTTACTAGAACATGCATTTCCAGCCCTGTCCTCACACTAGGCCGGGGATGGAACCTGGACATCTTAAGAACAACTGCACTCGATGGGGAGTCTCAGACAGAAAGAGAATGTGTAGCTTCCTTTCTTTACCATATTAAGTAAAAATGTTCCCTGGGAGCCAGCTGGGCCAAGTGTTTCCCATGTCCTTAAGGAGAGTGCTGGCGGAGCAGGGCCTGTAGACCGGCCGTGCGGTAGAAGTGTGAATGGATTCGCTTTCTGTGTTACAGTTTCAGGCTGGGGAAAATTCATGAAAATTAGACATGAGCACAGAGTCAGGAGCCAGACAGTTACTCACAATTCCCAGTTACTCACTGCATTCTGGAGAGTGGGCATTCTTGTCTCTATCTATGTATGATCTTTTCACCATTACTATAGAAAAAGGTAGATAGCCCCAGACGTAGGGTTGGGTAAATGTTTTGAAGAAAAGAAACTGGAGAATAAAAAAAAAAACCATTACAAAGATTGGCAAAAGTACGCGTTCTGAACGGTGTGTGGGTGTGTATGTGAGGGAGGGGCGGGGCAGGCTCTCCTGAGGAGCTCGCAGTCGGGACACTTTGAGTCATGGGGTCCCTCAGACAGAATTTTCTTTCAAACTAGGAGGAGCTCAAGGCACCAGGACCTAGGGTTGTGCAAATACACTCTTTACAAGGAACACCACCAGTTCAGTTTCTAAATATTATTTTAGAGCCTATAAAACATGCTTTTCCCTAGCTTGGTTTCTTTACCTCGTATAAAAAATAAATAAATAAAAAGGGCAAGAGAGGAGCCAAAAACTGGCAACTGGAATGGACAGGAGTCACTCTTCACTTAATAATCTGTGGACAGTCGCTCCAGGCCTTGGCTTTCCTTTTGGCCAAAGCCAGCCAGGCTGGTTCTGTTGACACGGGGGCAGCGTCGGGGGAGGAAAACCTCTTTGTGACTTCGTTCACCTGTGGCGTTGGGGGAGCCGAATCCGAGAGCTCCACTGGGTTGCATTTTGAAGGAAAAGGAGAAAGAAAGGTGTAAGTCAGAGCAACATTTGGATTGATTAGAAGTATGGGATTCAGAGAGGAACACTGAGTGAAACACTGGGCATCTTTGCTGAGAAAAATTAGGGAAAGAAAGCTATGTGGTCATAACTGTTACATACAAAATTACAGCGATCACAGTGCAGTCAATTCTAATTTCAGAGAATTTCTAGAAGCCTCATTTTTTTCTGTGCAAAGAAGCTATATGCCTGTATGATAAAAAGTAAAGGTAAATTTTGTGATCCTACTCAGAACCAGTCAATTTCATAAAAAAAAAAAAAAAATCACACCAGCAGTTTGGATTTATCAAGCTGCTGAGGTCAAAAGTTCCTGCCCCCACCAAGCATGTCCTGGTCCCTTCCCCTCAGGCCTACAGATCCTGCCAGCTCTCAGGACTGTTCTAACAAGTCCTTTGCATCGTATCATTTTCCTTACCAGACCTTAGAGGCTTCTTAAGTAAGGGGTTCCTGTCTTATCTTTGGGTCTTACTCAGTGCCTGTGGCAATGGCCCATATGTAGCAGAGCTCAGGACATACTAATGGACAAGAAAAATACTTCAGAACAGAGACTTGCTGTAGTAAGCTGAGCCACTAGGAACTGCATTAACCCTTTGGTGCCTCCAAGAAATCAGTCCGAAAAAGGTGGGATCTCTGTGACTTTGGAGCTTTCACTTAATTTTGAATGAATTCTGACACACCCATGTGATGTTTAGAACCTGAATTCCTAGGTATAAGATCAAATGAAATAATGCCCATGGAGGTTCTTGAGAAGTTGTACAGTGCTCCAAAGTGGTTTTCAAAAATTATTTTTCTCCTCACCTAATAGTCAATAGAGCTTTAACTGTGAGATCTCTTTGCATTTCCAGACCTCAGCGAGCAGGTCACCAAGGCATAAAAAAATCCTGGGTTTGGAGGTTGGGTGCCCTCAGGGCTGCCTAGTGGGGAAAACTGATGCTCTATTAACCCCTGGGGGAAACTTGTTTAGATTTATCCATCCTCCAAGTGATTTGTAATAAGGAACTTGCTGGAGACCTGACTGGATCATTTTACTTTTTAACAGAATAAAGACTTTCTTTAAAACGTGTATGTGTCTCTTATGTATCATGAACATGTAAACAATACTATTGTTACATCAAGGACTTAGAGCCGAACAACCTTGTTCTCTAAAGTCACAGCTGAGTCAGAAACTTGCTGTTTGAAATCACATCAGTGAAAGGGGCCACCCACTTGTGCCTGGAGCATCTGAGCCACATGGGATCAGAAAAGCAGCTTCTATTTCCAACCTAGGGGCAGAGCTGCAGGCAGGGGTTTTCAGATACAGTTGCACACATTTATTTTAACTTTGTAGTGTCAAAGAAATAGGGCCCTGATGTCAACCCCTTTATGTATACCCCACACCCTTGGTTTGCTTTGAGCCTATTAGAACACTGCTCCATTTCAATTTACCTAAACTTCACCCTTTCCCCCAAATCCTATTAGAATCTTGTCTCTTCCTTTGTTTAGAGGTTCTTATGTAGTCTCCCTTGCTATTGTAAGTTAATAAACCTAATTTTGTTGGACTACAGGGAGAGGGGCATTGGAGATGGCTGGTCTCCCCCTTGTTAACTGATCAGGAATTTAGAGAACCAGTTGACACCACATTGGTAGCTTGAAACTGGCCATGGTGGGAAATATTTACACCACAGTAAATGGCAAATACTACAAATCAGGTCTCTCCACTCCCTCAAGAGCTGATCATTAAACATCTACCATCATTCCACTGAGGGTGGGAGAGTTTCTGGTAATCTTTATCAGGTGAGCTTTATTAGTGTCAAAATTTATGAATGGGGTTGTGAGACAGCCTGTGCTTTGAAATGCCTAAAATGCTGTCCTGGTTATTACACTAGAGGAAATAAAGTACACTCTAAGAGGAAAAAGCTGTAACTATGGTTAAACAGAAATGGACCTGTTCTTTCTACCTGTCACAGATGTAGGAAGAGTGTTGGCCTTTTTCAGCTGTTCTCTGCGCTCGAGCCTGGACACTGTTGTCTCCAGCTTCTTCTCTTCTGGCTGAGCAGTGGACTTATGCAGGGAGCCAGCTCTGCTGACACTGCTGCTTCCAGGCTGCGGGCTGACACTGACCTGGGTGGGCAGAGAAAGTCAGGGAAAGCATGTTTTCAACCCAAACACATGGAAAGACTGGTTGTGCAAGGCCTTGGGGGCTTCCGCCTGACAGCCCTCATCCTCTGCTCCTAAAGGAGCAAGCTGACTGCACTTGGGAGCAAACTGTACTCAGCTGTGGTCCCCAGCCATGGAGCAGCTCAGCACAAATGTCCCAGCGAAGAAACGCGACTTTCCTAGCGAGCCCCATCAGACTGACTATAAAATCAGGGCCACAGAGCAAGACTCCTGATTTCCTCCCAACTTCCTGTCAAATACAATCATTTCCATATTTCTCATGTAACTGTTGTGTGCATGGATTGCTGCAGTACACTGTGAATTCTGCCAAATTGGGTTATCTTGTGCATATAAGGAACCCGAATCAAATTTCTAACTGAAAACACTTCCCTAGTTTAATGGTGCGCAATTTGTTCGTTGCTCTACTCTTTCTAAGTATTCTACGCCACTCCCAGCTAGCCTTTTTTCTTTTTCAATCCTTGTGACCACAAAAGAGAGCCAAGCTCAGAAAGGCAGATCTAAAGCTGAAGACCAGGCTACTCACATTCTCTTTGGAGAGCTTTTCTGCCTGTTTGGCCTCCCTGGCTTGCTTCCTCTCCTCTCGAGTCGCTTGCTGCTCACGGAATCCCTTCTGCTTTTGCAGTGCTAACGTTATCCACAGTGGCTGCGTGGTTTCAACTTTCTCCACAACTTTGGAGCCATCTAAAGAGTGTCTGCTCTGAAGCACCGGCTTTTCTGTGGGAAAAAAGACATATTGTGATTTATAATAAGAAATATATATTTGGTTTTCGTCCCGTTTCTCCTAAAAACCCTGTCTCTCCTTTTTAGGAGGCAGAGCTCCTAAAACCCTAGACCAGCGGTTCTCAACCTTCCTAATGCCGTGACCCCTTAATACAGTTCATGTTGTGGTGACCCCCAACCATAAAATTATTTTCGTTGCTATTCTATAACTGTAATTTTGCTACTGTTATGAATCGTAATGTAAATATCTTTTTGTTTTCCGATGGTCTTAGGCGACCCCTGTGAAAGGGTCGCGACCCACAGGTTGAGAACCGCTGCCCTAGGTGATGACAGCATAAAGGTATCTCATTTTATGTTAATGAGGTTGCTTTGTGACTTCACTTAAGGATGGGGGCTGGTTCCTAGGTTGAACCAGCTGTGTGATAACAGGGTTGGAACTTTCAGTCCCAACCCACAACATCTGGGAAGGGGAGAAGGCTGTACATTGAGTCAGTCACTAATGGCCAATGATTTAGGCAATTCATGTTATAATGCCTTCGTAAAAACCCAAAAAGGACAAGGTTTGGAGGCTTCCAGGCTGGCGAACACGTGGAGGTGCTGGGAGAATGGCCACCCTGAGAGGGCATGAAAGCGCCACGCCCTCCCCCCATACCATGTCCTGTGCATCTCTTCCATCTGGCGGTTCCTGAGTTACATCCTTTTATAATAAATCGGTGATCTAGTAAGTAAAATGTTTTTCTGAGTTCTGTGAGTCTTTCTAGCCAATTAAACCCAAAGAGGTGGTCATGGGAACCTGATTTAAACCAGTCAAAAGCACAGGTGATAACCTGACTTGTGATTAGCATCTGAAGTGGGTACAGCCTTGTGGGACTGGGTCCTTAACTTGTAGAATCTGACGTTATCTTGAGTTGAACTGTAAGGCACCCAGCTGGTGTCCGAGAATTGCTTGGTGGTGTGGGAACTCCTCCCTGCAACACACAGACTGGAACTGTGATCATAATCATTAAAGACAAAAGACTGTTTGCAGTGGAATTAACTACTCACTTATCTCGGTCCCTTACCACCTAAAACTTGTGGCATATTGTCATGCTGGGCTCAGGTACCCGCAGATGAATGCAGGATTCGGTGAGACCGAAAAGGAACAATGGAGTCACAGATAGGGGGTTCATACCACTATATTATAGTCTCGATGACAGCTGGTAGAGACAGGAGAAGCAAACATCCGTCAATACCACAGTCTCGCTGGCGGCCAGACGAGACACAGGGAGTAGGAGCTGCAGGAGCTGCACCATCCGCAACAGCTGGACACCCAACACCCACGCTTGCTAGCGCAGCTGAGACAGTTATATGCAAAACAAGAGTAGCTAATGGCCAACTGGTTACAGCTGATGGCCCTCTAATAACCGAGCCAGCACCTTCCCACGTGAGGCCGAGAGCCTGGAAACTGCCCTCCTGGCCCTTTCCCAGCACATATTAATCAGCCCATAAGATACTTAACTGGCCCTTCCTAACACAAACTCTGTGCTGATGCCTGAGTGACTTCACTGGGTGGGAAAGTAATATCTTTCATCAACAGATAAAACAAGAGCATTTCTCTTCCCTCAAAATACAAGAAAAAATAAAATCTCCAGTGTAACAAAATCTCAGGCCTACAGGGGGACCCAGGAAGTTATTTGATTCATTGTTGTTTATTTATTGTTTTGTTAAATATTGTTAAAATTTCTTTTTGCAAGAACCTTCTCCCCCCCCAAAAAAAAACAACAGCATCCTATGTGGAACCCCAAAGTATGAAAGAGAAAAATGGTGCACTGCTCTGTCTCGTGGGGCTGCTGAGGGCAGCAGGGCTCTGAGGAACGCAGTGGGAAACAGTGCTGTGGGTCCCATGCCTTCCTTGGACAGACGTGAGCACCAGGGTCCACAGCGAGCAACTGCAAGGCCCAAGGTTACCCAGCAGTTAGTGTGCAGGCGGGAGCTGGAGCTAGGACCTCTGACTTCCGGTCCCTGCTTGTCTTGTGGTTAACTGTCTCGCCAGTGCAACTGGGGTAAACACACTTCACAGACGGGTGGTATCAGGGATTGAGTAATTGGGCTCTGGAATGGAGCAGACCTGGGTTTGACCGTATGTGACATTACAGGAGCTACTTAATCTCTGTAAAGTGGTAAACCATAAAGTGGAGATGATAATGGCCCATGCCTCATCAGGCTGCAGTGAAAATTAAAAGTGGTCCTGGACTTCAGAACATTGATAACAGTGCTTGGCATATAGTCACCACTTTACAAAACTGAGTGTTCTTATTATTTATGCTATGAAACAATGTTCCCCTTTTACTCCCTTAAGTGAAAATTAATGACTTCTAGAGATAATCACTCTGGCACTGAATCCTTTACTATCTTCAAAGGATAAGGGCTTACTATAGTCCTGTTCTTTTGAAACCCAATAGAAGTTTACACTTTGATCATCCAGAGCCTTACTAACCAGTTCTCTCAGTCAACTGAACTTCATACTGAAGAGAAAGAACCAAAATAAACCTGAATTAGGAATTCAAGCACAAAAAAGGGCAGATTCCGCTTAATTTTCTATATGCTTTAGATCTATAAAGCTATACAAAGAGAACTCATATTTACAATGAGCCTTTGGCATTGCACTATTCCTAGTCATCAAATAAAGACTCAGTTAGGATCTAATGCAGAAAAGGAAATATTTTTTAAAAACTAAAACTGAAAGGAGTTCCTGGCTAATCTTAGTTAACCAGAAAAATAAAAAAGATTCATCACTTCAAGTATTTCTGCATAACCAAGACATTTTATATGCACTGGAACAATGAGTTTTGTTTTTTTTACTCAAGGGCAGTGTAACACCTGTTTGTAAAATGTCTAAAATCCCAATTGCCAAGATCTAAATGGTTTCCATTTAAAGCTATTATGTATACAAGGGACTCCTAGACTGAACATTCTATCTGACCTCGCTTAGGAAGGTCATTAAAGCAACCGGCCAGTTTCCTGCCAAAAACTGAACGGTGGTTATCACAAGGATCAAAACACCTTTAAAATACCATTGCCTAAATTTATAATTGACTCAAATAATTTAAAAAGATAAATCTCTAGCCAAATTTTAATTTCCTTAGAACTGTAGTTTGAAAAATGCATCCCAGAGTTATGAGCCAGAAGTTAAAAAGATTATAACACAATATGTATAATGGGCCTAATAGGTCTAGACTGTGGTTGGGGATCAATAAAAGAAGATACGATGTTAAAATGGGACTCCTGTCTGCGTTGCAGCCAAGGAAGCCCAAAAGGCCTGCAACGAAATAATCAATGGCACCTCCCACGTTCTGAAGTAAAGTGCTAGATCACCTACTTAAGACTGGCCTGTGAGTTGGCCAAACAGCCACCTCAAGGTCACAGAAGAACCAGAGTTGAGGCAGAAGAAGCCAGAATAGAGAATTTCTTTGCAGAAGACTGTTGGAACATGATATGTTCCCATGACCTCTCCCCTGCAGGGGAGAAAAGGGGGCCAAGCCCAGTGAGCGAGTCCTCGATGAGACCACTCAGATGACCTGACTGTGTCTCCTGGAGTCTGTGGGGCAAAGACCTGAGGTTCTGTTCCCACCTGGAAAAGTCCAAAGGTGAGATGACAGTGCCTGTCAGAAGATGGAGAAGAGGACTTGTCCTGGGAAGACACTGGCCACCCAGTTTGGTGTTGAGTGCTGCATGAGGCTCAGGTGTGGGCCATGTGGGGAGAAGGGTGGCTAGCGACCGAGGGACTGAGCCGGCCTCGAGGGGGTGCCACTGACGGTAAAGGAACTGCAGGAGATGGAGAAAGAGCCCATGGGGCAGGTAAAGTGTCTGAGGAAAGCATGAAAATGCCCCACAAAGGAATTAGCACTGAATATCCCCCCCAAAGCAGGGAGCACCAATGCCTCACCTCTCTCCTGTCCTTCACTGCAGTTCTGGAGCCTGTTTCTGGGCTGGGAGGAAGGGGAGAAGTCGACCATGCCTGCACCCCCACTGCAGGCTTTTCAGCCGGAAGCAGGACAAATAAGAAGGGAGACACTGTAATTTGAAATAGTGTTTGGAGTTTTATGACACTGGAGGGGACATATTAATTACTAACATGAAACTGTTGTTACTGAAAGTGTCTAGAGGACTTTTTGATTTCAAAAAGTGATTGAAAATATAGGAAGAACTCCTATAGCTCAACAACAAAAAAACAAAATATCCAATTTTCAAAAAGGGGAAAGGAGTTGAACGGACATTTCTCCTAAGAAGACATACAAATGACCAACAAGCACATGAAAAGATGCTCAACATCACTAATCACTAGGGAAATGTAAATCGAAACCACAGTGAGATGTTACCTCATAACCATTAGGATGGTTAGCATAAAACAAAACAAAACAAAATAACAAGTGTTGGGGAGGATGTGGAAAAATTAGAATTCTGTGTTCTGTTGGTGCAGCTTCTGCGGAAAACAGTCGGGTGGTTCCTCAAAAAATTAAAAATAGAGCTACCATAAGACCCAGCAATTCCAATTCTGGGTATTTATCCAAAAAGAATTGAAAGCAAGATCTTGAAGGGACACTTGCATACCCATTTTCATAGTGGCGCTATTTACAATCGCCCAGAAGTGGAAGCAACCTAAGCGCGCCCTTCGACAGAGGAATGGATAAACGAAACATGGTATACACACACAAGGGAATGTTATTCAGCCTTAAAAAGGAAGGAAATCCTGTCACATGCTACAACATGGATAAACCTTGAGGACATTATTATACTAAGTGAAATAAGTCAGTCACAAAAAAAGATAAATACTGTATGATTCTACTTACATGATTTATCTAGAGTAGTCAGCTTCATAGAAACAGAAAGTAGAATGATGGTTGCCAGGAGCTGGGGGAAGGGGAGTTATTTAATGGGTATAGAGTTTCAGTTTTGCAAGATAAAAAAGTTCTGGAGGTCGGTTGTTTAACAGTGTGAATATGCTTAACACTGCTGAACTGTATACAGTAAAACCTTGGATTGTGAGTAACTTGGTTTGCGAGTGTTCCGCAAGACAAGCAAACATTTCTAATACGTTTTAACTTGGTAAAAGAGCGATGTCTTGCAATACGATTAGTTTGTTTCTGGAACGAATTATGCTCGCAAACCAAGGTATTACTGTACTTAGAAGTGGTTAAGATGGTAAATTTTATGTTATGAATTTTTACCACAATAAAAACTGCCTTTTAAAGTGATTGAAAGAGCTATGCTCAAAATATTATCCAAAAGATGGGGGAAAATGAGACTCATAGATCAGGTTTAAAGGAACTGCTAGGAAAAGAATAAGATACAGGGCCGGCCGAGTGGCGCGATGGTTAAGAACTGGCTTGGGATGCCAGAGGGCCCCGGTTCAGATCCCACATATGAGGGCCCGTGACACTGCCCTCCACAGCTAAGATGCTGAACAGCAGCTCAACCTGGAGCTGGGCTGCCGTGAGTCGCCGGCGACGGTGTAGGCTGCAGCCCCTGCAGCAGTGGGTTGTCATGGGCTACCGTATGTAGCCAGCAGCCAGCGTGAGTGGCCAGCAGCCGCAGTGAGAGGCCGTCAGAAGCCGGCGACTGATGTGCCTCACCCGGGAAGAGCGCAATGATGGTGCCAACTTGGGCCAGTGAAGCAACGTCCTCCACAACTAGACTGAAGAACAAAACAACAGCAACTTTTCTGTTCCCCTTCCCCCAATTCCCCAGCGCTGTTCTCATCCCCCAATTCCCCAATTTAAAAAAATAAATAAAAGAATAAGATAAAGCTTTGCTAAATCCTATGGAGTTTTAACAAAGTTTGTTTGAACAAATATATGACTGAAGTCATTCAGTTCAGGATGTAACCTGAAGACATTAATGTAACAGGGTTTTTAAAGGCTTACAGCATTTTATAGATGCCAGTGAGAATTACTTGAAGGGGTCATAGGGTAACAGGAAGATCATTTAACCTGGGAAACAGCTCCTCCTCGTCCTGGCTTTACCACTGTGGGGAGTAGGCAAGCCACCTAAATTCTCAGGTGCTGGTGTCCTCAACTGTAAAATGGCACCAAGACTATCTATCTGCATACATGTGTGTGAGAGTGACGGAGATGGTGTCAATAAAAGCACTTTGTAAATGATCAAGCACAAAGGATGCCTGTTGGTGAAATTTTCCAAAACAGTAAAATCCCTCATTTCATTCAAGGTTTTGAAAGACACAGATGTTCTTTGTTAATCGCATAACCTTTTTGGTTAGGGAGTTCAAAATATCCAATTAAAAATTTTATTTTACTGCAATGTTTAAACCTACTGTCTCTCATTCTAAACGCCGTGGACAAGGAGAACCACAGTCCATTCAAGTTCCCTCCTCTGAGTTCTGGGGAGACAAGCAAGTGCCTCCTGGCATTACAGGGTTCTAATCACTACTCCCAAGTTCAGTTCTTGGAGAAAGGGCCGCTTGCTGCCTGTTCTGGGGATTTCAGAATGAGATGATATCTGATGGAACCTGTAATCAAAGTGTTAGAGGAGAAACACCGGAGGGTTGTCATTGTTATTTTAATTCCCACCAGGGTGGGTTCAGAGCCAACAGCGCTCCCAGTGGCTTGACCTATGCATTGGTCCTTGCTGGCCTCGTCTTCAGCCTCAGGAAGGGAGACCTCTTTCTAAAGCAGTGGTCTCCAAAAAAAAGGCTGTGTGTGCCCCAGGGGATGCGCAAGGCAATTCCTTGGGGGTGAAGGAAGAAAAGACTAGAATTTCTATTTGTGTATCTTTAAATCTAAAAATAAAAACAAAATCCAGCTTTTCTAATATTTAAGACTCAGGTAGACACTGACATCCTCATTCAGCTCATAGATCATAGCTCAGAAGACCAGGAATAACAAATGGTTATGTTTAAAGACTCCCGAGGGAAGCTGGAAGCGCTATGATGTGATGGGGAGAGAACTAGCAATCTTGTCCTCACTTATTTTGCTTTTAGCCTATTGTGAGGTTCTGCAGGTAGATGAGTTTATGGAATATCATATTTCCTTTTAACTAAATGATCCCTTATGAAATGGACAAATGGCGTCCATTCTTGCAAACAAGCTACAGATTTAATACGCTACTACTAATGCAAGCATAAGAACATAGCAGAGCTGACAAGCTCTCTGCTTGCCACTTTATGAAAAAATCAGATCTGACAAGAAGTTGACCAAAGAAAATAAAAGGTAGCACCATGATTTGCAGTGTAGACTTACATCCGCTGATGCTTCAGTGAACTTCACCCTAAGTGTACATGGTGCTCCAGGGGTTTTAGCTGATGATGGTACTACATGTACACAATTAACAAATAAATTGGAGGTCCAGGCATTCTTATTCTGATGGGGTGTTCAGTCAAACAAATTTGGTCAGCTCTGGTCTAGAGTTGGACAGGAAAACCCTATGGGTGACAGCAACTACCCACAAGGCACATGGTCCTTGTTTTCATGTTTCTTTTCTATCAAATAAAGAAAAATTCAATTAGCAGAGTGTGATAGCCTAGAATAGGATCTGGATACTGAGAAAGAAAACTGGGGCAGTAATAGTTTTTGGTAGAAGATTGTAATAATCAAAGAGCCATTTCTAAGAGAAAGTAGCAAAGCAGGAGCGTTATTTCTTTGGGGAGAAGATAAGAGTGTGCAAGAGGAGACCAGGATGTGAGAGAAACTTGATGACATTATGAAAGCTAATGACTCAAAAGCTCACGTCAAAACTGAAAAGGGGGGTTTTGGTTCAAGATGGTGACATAGGATCCTGAACTTCCTCCTCCCAGACACACCGAGTCTACAGCTACATGTAGAATATTTCCCTCTGAAAGACATCCAGAAACTAGCTGAGTGACTCCTACACCTCAAACGAACAGAAAAATCCACACTGAAATGGGTGGGAGAGGCTAAAATGCAACCCATAAACCCCACCCCCATGTGGCAACCCATAACTGGGAGGGAACTCACAATTCCCAGAGTCTCCCCGGAGAGTGAAGGGTTTGGACCCCACATCTGAAGTCCCAACTTTTAAGACTTCCACCTGAGAGACAGGCCCCCAAAACACCTAGCTCTGAAAGCCAACAGGGCTTGTGTCCACAAGACCCACCAGGTTATAGGGAACTAAGTGTCCATTTTTTTTTTCTTTTTTAGCTGAGCCATCCTGCCACTTGTTGGTAGCTCAGCGGCTGCTCAGCTCGGCCAGGACTCGAACCGCTGTTGCTCAGAGCTCAAACTCTTGAGCAAGCTCTTAACCAACTGAGCCACTCAGCCGGCCCTAAGTGTCCATTTTTAATGGGCTCACTGGGACTCACTGTGGCTATCCCCCTAGGGCCCAGTGCAGATGTTAAAAGAAAAAGCCAAAAACTGAAAATGAGCTCCTCATCCACAGGGCAAACAGAAACCATCAGGGAGAAATGGTTTGGAAGCTGCTCGTCAACATCCAGCAAACCAGGCAAGGCTTGGTTAAAGGGGACGCCACGGTCTTTGGTAAGCTGAGTAGCCAAACCAGTACTCCTTGGGACACAGCTCTTTTCTCAGCAAAAATCACTCCAAACCTAAACAATTAAATAAAAAAACGATCCCTCCCTGAAACACCGCAGGGGAGAATTTCTTTGAGAAATATGACTTGACTTCCTGGGCTATGACCCACACTTGACCTCCTACTCTGCAAGACAGAAAAGAGGAAGTATTAGATAAAAGTTCTCAGGGGCCCCCCAAACCAACACAAGTGATCATGGAGCTGCCCTGAACATCTACTATGAAGAAACTTGAGGGGCAGGCAGGAGTAAGGGTGGCTCTAAAAATTTTTTACAGGAGGGTTTCCCAGTGGAAAGCTGGTGGGGTGGGATGCATGTGCAGAGCATTTTGCATAAAATTGAGACCAAGTTAATTATCCACATAGAGGCTCCTTAGGCTGGTGGAGCTGTTGAAAGGTCCCCAACTTCCCACTGTGGTGCCACTACTGCCCAGACAGAACACAGTCACTGGTCTAGAAAATTCCAGGCTTTACCATCACTGCTCAGCCCCTCACAGTGATTCAAGACATCTTCATTAATTAGGACCAGATGTCATTTCCATTGTCAACCCGAAAGCACATTAGTCTGCACTGGCACCTTTTAACTTATTTCTTGTGTAAGTATCACTAATGGGAGTGAGCTGCAGACACATAGCAGACTCAGTCTGTATTTCCAAAATGGTCAAGAACCATAGAAAAGTGACAAGAGAAAAATTCTGAGGTGTCCTAAATTAAATTACAGCTGGCCAGAGAATGGAGGGGGAGGGGCCGGTGGCAGGGAAGACAAGGGAGGTTAACTAGTGAACAGCTGCTGGCAGAAACAAAAGACTGCTTACGTTCCTGAATGTGCATTGAGACTTTGAACCAATTTCCAGGTGGTTATTTCAGCTTTTACCCAGGGAACAGCCGACCATCAGATGCCACCACATCGTGCTTATACATGAACTTTTGAACTTGCCCCCAGTCAATCCAAAAGTAACAAGAACTCCTTCCTTATGGACTGTGCTTCTATCCCAGAGCTGTCCCCACGTCACCTTATCCCACCCCTCTTACCTGTAGCTAAGGTAAGTTCTTTCCAAACAACTTATATCTTTCTTCCCCAAACCCATTGTTAAAAAGCCCCATCAGCCAGGACAGTGGACATGTCTGTCTTTTCTATGTAGCCCTGCCCCTGGTGGTTCAGGCTGCCTACGCCAGGACCTGGTCCCTTTTCTGGCTGGCATGTGGCTCAATAAACCCTTTCTTTCAGAAAAGCTTTCAGTTGCAACGGTTTTCTTTTGTTTAACAAAAGTAAAGAGCCTCACTATGACTCAGCCCCTTTTGGGAATGGCAAACCTGCCTCTAATTAAGGGAAATGCTCCAACATCAGCTCCACTGGATACCTCCAGCCTTGGCCGCTTCCGGCTTTAGCTGTAACATGGACAAGCTGGACAGAGGCCGAGTTTTCCAACCTAAGGCGACATACCTTTCCTCCCGGCCTCAGGTGCTTGGGAAGACTTCTCTTGCTGGACAGCAGACAGCGCTGGGGAAGCAGATTTTCTCTCTGTTTCCACCTCTTCCTCCTCATCTCTCCTCTGAGCCTTCCTCTCCTCAGCCGGTGGTGGTGAGTGCGGCCCAGGGTCACCACATGGCTCGCTGGGCTCCGGATCAGGCTTTCCCGGCCGGCAAGCCAGTAGCTCTACCAGGTAGGGCTTGCTCAGTTTGCAGAGTGGGGAGGACGGTGGGGTCTGACCGGTGGGCTTGGGCGCCAGGGCTGGCTTCTGTGCTGATGGCATTCTGTTTGCTGCTTTGTCATGCTCTGGAGCCGGGGTCTGGCTGCTGGCAGGTGGGGGCCCAGGCTGGGCTGCAGGAGAGGGGCTGGAAGGGCTTTCTGCAGAGTCCTTCCAGGTGGATGGGGCTTGCTTCCTCTCTGGGGGGAGAGACGGGCCACGCTTGAGGGCCACACCTTCTGCCTCTTTCTCTGCATCTGTGCTCCCTGGTGCAGGCGGCCCCCCATCAGCACTATCCCCTGTGCTGCTGTGCCTTTTCTTCTTTTTCTGTTCCGTCTGTTGGTCACAGTGGAAGCGCAAGGAGTAGTTGGTCCTTCTCAACTTTATTCCAAAAGGTGAGGCTTTTTCCTCGCCACCTGGCGTCATGGAGTCTGGCTTTCCTGGACCACTGGTGGTCTCACCGTCTGAAGTGGTCACGGGCTCTGCATGGGCGGCAGCTTTCTGCGGAGAATAAGGAAGGCTTGGAACAAGGAAAGATGGAAGGTCTTTGGCAAATTTGCATCCCTCGGTGGTATCTGTTGACTCCTGGTGTACCTCCAGTTTCTCTGCGCCCTTCCGGGGCTCATGACTATCAGCAGCCAGGGGTGGGGGTGCTGTCTCGTCACTGGCTCCCAGCACGGGTCTTTTTCTAATGCTTTCAGCTTCTGTGTTCTGTTTCGAGGTCTCCGTGCCCCCATCAGAGAATTTCTGCCAGGCAGGCATAATGGAGAACTTTGCATTTATTGGTGGGGTCTTGCGGAGGTTCCCTCGGGAATCACAGCGGCCCCGGGGAGGGTGCTCATCACCAGGCTGAGATTGGTCTCTCTCTGCATTCTTCAGGATTCTGGACCGAATGGAAGCCCATTCGGCCAGTGCAGCCACACTGCTTGGAGACTCATGGTGGGGCCTGGCCTTCCCGCTGCCTGGCCGGGGGTCGATGGGAGCTCGGGGTGGGTTCTCCAGGGCGGGGACATCCACGTGCTTTTTTTCTTCTGACAGACCCAGGAGAGACTTGCATGCCGTGTCCTTGATCTGGCTCAGGTTGACAGCTGGGCCGCAGAGCTGTGCTCCCGTGACCAGGATGGCCGTGTGGGGGATGCTCAGGGAGGAGGGCAGGGCGTGGGAGGCTGGGCTGGCTTTGGGGGCCTTTGGCTCATGGGGAGCAGAGGCAAGTCCTGCTTCTTTCCCAGGCGTCACTGGGCTCAGGTTGACTTTGGGGAAGAGAATCTGTTTCCCTCCTGACGACACCTGGAAAGTGTAGGGCCTGGGCATGGTCTGCCTCTCGTCCACTTCCTGCCACCTGAGTTCCTCCACCTTCCTGTCTTTTTCTGGAGGGGCAGCTTCTTTCTTCTCCACTGGAGGCTGCATCTCTCCCACTTGAATCTCCTGTTTCTGGGGAAGTGACATGTTACTTTCGTCTCTCTTTTCCTGATGTTCATAACGATCTTCACCCGGAAAGTCGCCCTGCTTTTCCTGCTGCTCTCCTGATGGCTCAGCCTCCTGGCTCTGCTCCTCGCTAACACTCGGTTCCTCAGACTTTTCTCTCTGCTTCTCAGGTTTCAGGTGTTCTTGTTCTGGTTTCTCTGCAAAGTCAGCCCGAAGCGGGCTCCTTAAGCCCCTTTTGTTGTCCAGCTCCAGCCAACTCGCCTCTTCCAGTCTCGGTGCTCCCTGAGGCTCCTTTTCTGCTTCCTGCCGCAGCCTCTGCACCTCCGTTTCCTCCTGCGTTTTCCTCAGTTCTTCCCTTCTCTTTGCCTCCTCCTCCTCCTGCTGTCTCTGCTCCTCCAGCTCCTCCAGCCTTCTGAGCTCCTTCATCCGTTTCTCTTCTTCCTCCTGCCGCTTCTGCTCCGCCAGCCTCCTCTCCTCTTCCTCCAGCCGCTGCCTCTCGGCTGCCTGCCGCCTCTGCGCCTCCAAGTCCTCCCATCTTCTGAGCTCCTCCAACTCCCTTTCCTCATCCTCCTGCTGCTGCTGCACAGCCACCTGCTTGCTCTGTGCCTCCAGCTCTTCCTGCTGTGCGAGCCTCTCTGCTGGCTCAGCCTCTTCCTCTGGGCACTTCTGCTCTCCAGCCTCCAGGTGCCTCCTTTCCTCTCGCTCCCTCTGCTCTTGGCCTTGGCCGCCTTGTTCTCCCAGTCTCTGCTTCTGCGCTTCGCATTCTCTCTTTCCTGCCTCTAGCTGTTGTTCTCTCTTCTCTCCCTCCTGTTCCTCTCCTTCCTCCTCCAAGAGCTCTTGCCTTCGGTTCTCTTCCCAAAGCCGCCTCTCCAGGGCCTGGAGCCTCTGATCTTCCAGGCGTCTCCTCTCAGCTGCTTCTGCCTTCTGCCGTTTGCACTTGGCCTCAAGTTCTCGCCAGTATTCTTCTTGGCGTCTCTTCTCCTCCTCAGAGTCCAGTGGCTCCGGCTCCTCTTCGTGCCACATTGGCTTGTCTTCTCCAGGGTGTCCGTTCTGGTCCAGGGACAGCTGATGTGGAATGCCACCGTGTTCATTGGGTCGATCCTAACATTGGGAAGGGAAACACAATTAGCCTTCTCCTTTCGCACAGGCAACCGTTTACACATCCTTTTCACAATGTAGGGGGCCTCTTAATCTCAAAAGAAGGGGGAATTGTTCTAAGTACAGAGACCGGTAAATTCAGGCTGTCGCACCAACAGTAAATTGTTGGGGTAGAGGAAAGGATTTCATCTTCATGTTTACTCTCTAGCCCCTTTATGTGTCATTCTCAAATTCCTTTTTGTTAATATGAATGAATAATCATAGGAAAACCAACAGTCCAGGATTAGAAAGATGAGGAAAAAATGATATTGACACTTCACCTATGTCCTCTGAAACTTATGACTTAGAGAAATCCGCCCTAATCAAAGTGAAGAACCTTTGGCTAAGCCATGGCAGAGAAAGGCTAGGCTGGCCACCTTTCTGTTGCAAAGCAAACAGTGTCTGGAGCCCCCCAAAAGGCAGCCTCTCTCTCTGAGGTCCATTGTCCCCCGCCCTCCTGCCCCGGAGGGCAACATGTCAGAAAGGGCGATGCAAAGTCAACGGGCCTGCTTACTCAAGGTATACCGCCACACGCTCAAGGCCCTGATGGGAGAGACCTAGTTCCTTCCACAGGTTCATCACACCACTTGTAGAAGCAGTCATACACATACCCCGGTAAGTCGCCTGTGCTTCTTTGACACCCTCTGGTTTTTTGGCTTAACGGACAGTTTGTGCTTGGCAGCACTGTTGTCCAGGCGGGCGATGGCCAGGGGGATGGCATCTAGGTTGACACTTTCAATGGTGCCAGCGGAAGAGAAGTGCCTTTTTGGCCGAGATGGTTTAACTGGAGCCACCTATGATGGAGATTAAAATACAGAATCAGTCCGGATCAGAAAGCAACCTGCAGGGAATCCCAGAATGGCAGCACGTGTTGGCGGCGGCATCTTGCCCAGCCTGGCCCAGGCAATGCTGGGGAACAGAGGGGCTACTCAGGACAGTGAAATGAGCACCGCTTTTGGAATCAAAAAGTTGACTATTTGTTCTGCCAATGAGAGTTGCATTAAGTTGTAAAGTTTTAGGGGACTAATTTTCCTACTCTAAATAATATGGGGGTCAGGTTAATTCAGGGGTCGATAAAACATAGTCAGGGGTTGAATCCTGCCTGCAGCCTGTTTTGGTAAATAAAATTTTGCTGGCACACAGCCACACCCATCTTCCACTGTCCTTGGCTGCTTTTGTGCTATGCAGGAAGAGCAGAACAAAGGAAAGTCTCACAGTCTCACTGATGGCCACAAACGCTAAAATAAGTAGTATTGTGCTGAGGCCTGGACAAGATCATCTCTACACAAAGAACTCTATGACTCTAAGAGCATTCCCACTACCTCCAACACTGTGAGAACATACCTCTGCTCCCACCTGAGTTCCTCTGAGGAAGGGAATGTGTCTTTTTCATCTTCGTATCAGTCCCCTTGACACCCAAGTAGCAAGTACTCAATAAATATTTGTTGGAGAATGAAGGAACAGTAAAGTATAACATCTATGACTGGGGCATGAAATTTCTAGCCCTCAAAAATGTTTTAGCACCATCACTCCAAAGTCACAGAGCACTGAGTGCACAGAGACGCTAAAAGGAAGGGCAGAAATGTGGCACACGCCGGGGAGGGCATTCCTCCACAGGATGACCTGCGGCCGCACTTGCCATTCTGTAACACAAACTTAAAAGCCACAACCTGAGATGAACTGTACAGGGTTAGGTAGGTCAGAGAGATGTGGTTCAGCCTGAACCCAGAGGCCACGCTGAACCAGACGTAAGAAGCCACACCTGTAGCTACAGAGCAGTTAGAGGCAGGCAGCAAGGCACGGGCTCCTGGCCATACCACACCACGCACCGATGTGTGGCAGGAGGTGCTCACAGCCCTGCTGCCTGTGCCAGCAGCTCCCAGACACAGGGGCTGCATTAGAAAGAGGCCAGGGTTCTTGTCCTATTAGAGAGACCACTTCATGAACTGTGTAGATGTCTGACCACGGCGCTGTACTCCTGAAGCTGAATAATATCGAATGTCAACTGTATTTAAATACATGCACACACGCGCGCGCGCACACACACACGGTGCCAAAAAAGTGTATACACATTTTAAGAAAGGAAAACTGTATTAAAATTGTAATACTCAATATATAGCAATAACAAGTCATGTTTGACTTCTGCAATTACAAGAGGTGCTCAAAGTGGTTACCATCAGTGTCCAGACACCTGATTATGGTGAACTACTGCTTGAGCAACGTTGACCAAAGTGTCCTCTTGTATATATATTTTTGGCACCCCGGTATATATATAGTCATGGGATGTGGAGTACAGCACAGGGAATAGATTCAATTGAAGTGTAACAGCTATATATACGATATCAGAGGGGTAGTAGATTGGGGAAGGGGGTTTATCACTTTGTGAGGGGTGTAAATGTCTAACTATTACATTGTTTTATACACCTGAAACTAAAAAAAAAAAAGGCTAGGGTTCATCTGTTTGACTGTGTTCATGTGCTCTAAGTATAACATCAGAGAATGTAACTAACAGCTTTGCTCTTTTTTTTTTGCAATTACCTTCCATATTTATGCACAATTCCAGCCCTTGGTCTCCTAGCTTTTATTTATTTATAGTTATGTTTATAATAGGTATCAAATTCTGAACTATTGTTGAAAAGAGATGAATTAAATATTTATTTCCATCCCCTAATAGGTGCATGAGTAACAGGAGTTCAAGTCAAATGTGACTGAAGACGCAGATAAGCACTAGAAGCTGAGATTTAAAAATATGTTTCATATCCAGTGATTCCAGCTGAGCCTCTTTATCGTCTGGGTGGTAACACTGTCTTGGGCCATCTTCTGCAGAAGGCATTGGGACATACCGTGCTCACTGTGCTGTCTGCCAGCCCCCGGGAGGACACCCGGACTCTTGTGTAGGTGAAAAGTGCTCGTGGGAGTGGACTGGCCTCCACAGAAGAGATGCCCACAGGCACCACGGGGTTCCCTAGGCTCTTGCAGGTAAAGTCCCAGGTTTCAGCGGCACACAGAAAAGCTAAAAAACCAAACTACATACAAGTAGAGAAATTATACGGTCCTTTTTTGGCATCTCTAAATATTGGGTCGTCGGGAAAGTCATGACATATTTTTCTATGATTTTCAAAGCAAAAATGCGTCATGACTTTCCTGACGACCCAATAGAAGGACACTCTTTTCCTTACAGACTGGGGTACCTTCAGATGTTCTGGAATGTCTTTTTCAACGCCCTAACAGTGTCTTGAAATGCATGATACATTTAGGAAAGTGACCAACGTCCAGGACTCCAAATGTAGGCATTCTGGGCAGGTGGCTAGTTTTCAGAGCAGGGTTCAGGTCCGGCATTTGCATTGCCATGGAAACAGGCGCTCCAACATCTACCCCTGGTTGCATTTTGAAGAAATTTAAAGTGATGGATGAAGACAGCATTGATGAATGGAAAAATGAGGGAGCAGATCACAGAAAAAAGGAAAAATGGGAGTTTAAGTAAGGAAGCGAAATACATAAGTTCAAACCGTATTACCTTCTCTTCCATCTCACTCCTGGTTCCAGGCAGATTCAGAGGACGCGGAGAGCTTGGCGTATCACTAGACTGCAACAGTAGAGAGAGCTTAAGTCACACACCAGAACAGGAAGTTCTGGGCAGATAACCAGACACAATTTGTGCCTGGAAAGGGCCGCCCCCTCCTCCACGCAGGGGTTCAGCTGGCTTCAAAGAGCTGGTAGGCGTCATGGTGGGGAGGGGCTTTGCTAATGTCCAGGCTCCACCGGACTCCTGAGGCACCGTGGGTGCACTCCCCTTCCCCCAAGTCCAGCACATTTCCCATCTGGGCGGCCTCCAAACTCAGTCCTGTGCTTCCCCATTACTGAACCTGGGGGGGGCTGCCCTACAGCCACCTTACCTGGGAAGCAGGGCTCCAACCTCAGAGCTTTCACTTTGCTGGCTGCCTTCCACCCCCTTCACCTGCCAAATCTCTCACCTGTATGCCAGACCTCTACGAGAAGGAAAGAGGGCCCTATCAATGCCAAATGGCTGGGCTGAGAAGGTGAATGAACAGAGGAGGTGAAACGACTCAGGAAAGAAGGAAGGAGAAGAAAAGGCTGAAGATTCTTATCCCCGTCGAATCGGCCTGCCTTGGGAACACCCAAACCACGTCACCTGTACCTTTCTGACGGCCCGCTATACCTTCTATCTTGTATTACTAATATTTACAAAAGGATCAGACTGTCCCTTCCAGAGCGGTAATGTCAGCTTGTTCTATCTCAGTCTGTTTTCTGCACCACACTTAGAAGCATCTTTAGAAAACACAAATCAGATTATATCACTTCCCTGCTTAAAATTTTCAGAGGCTTCCCATTCCTTTCAGGATAGAATTCACCCTTTTCCTGTGGTCTACACAGTTTGGCCCTTATACCACACTCGACCCTAACGTCGTCCCCACCAGGATCCAGCTGTCCACACTGGACTGCTCCTCTTTCAGGACAAGCTCAGCCCCATCTCTGAGCCTCGGTAGTTGCTCCTCCCTCTGCCGAAAACACGGCCCCACCCGTAGGTCTGCTCATGGCAGCTCTGACCTCCTTCTCTTTCCACCTCTCCCTAACCAAGTCACTCACTTTTCCATGCCTCTGTTTTATTTTCTGAATAGCATTTTTCTCGATCTGAAATTATTTATCGACTAGTTGACTCATATGTCATCTGGCTCTCCTCATTACAAGGTAAACTACATGGGGGCAGCTCCTTGTCTGATCATGCTCCTCTCTGTGATACCCACAGTGGGGTAGCGCCAGCTGAACCAAGGACCCTCCTCCTCCTCCAGGCCACTGTGCCTTGCTGGTATTCGCTCATCAGTAGGAGTGAAGACACTTGCTTCCTCTTAGGGAAATCGTTGCCTCAAGGCTGATGGCCCTTGCTGCTGCCAAGCACTGGAGAGGTTGGAGAGAGCATTTCTGGCCCTAGGGTGAAAGAAAGGCCCACCCATGCTTCACCTACCGCACCACCCACCACCCACCTGAGTGGATACCCAGCATCATCAGGGCAGACCATGCAGAGATGGGCAACAGGCGGGAACCATCCTTTTCTTTCCTTGCTTGCTTTGCTCTTCCTATTCTTAGGACATATTAGCTGCTAACAAGCATGACTTCTTGGGAGAGGGGAGGATGCCCATTTTAATAACACTCAACATAATTTCAGGCACCGTGGCAGGCAGAGCACAGAGAATGCTTTAAGACTGGAAGACCCGGGGCCTCACTGAGAGAACTCCTCACTCTAGCTACTGATGGGACCTTTCCTCCTTTTCCCATAAGAGGCCTAACGGTGTCCCTTGTGCTGCTAGAAGGACTCTCATTTCAGGATACGGTCACAGTGGTTTTTTCCAGCATCGAAAGACCAAATTAAGATAGGACAGTGCTGGACCAATGTGACTTTCTTTTCATACCAAGCGGACTTCAAGCTGGTCAGTTTGATATGTTCTCTCTTGTTGACATACTTCTTTTCTCATTTCCCTTTAAATTAGTCCAATTCAACAATTAATTACTCAGTGCTACTAAGTAATCACTGGCTAAGTCCTGGGGAGACAGAGATGTGTAAGATCCAGTTTTGTCCTCAAGCAACTCAACATTTAGAGATGGGGAGAAAATAGTTACGTGGACCTAGACACAAATGGGCCATGGATGTGTCAGAAGCACTAAAGACGCACAGTGAAGGTGAGGAGACAGTACAGCTTGGGTGTGAGGCCAGGTAAAGCTTCCCAGAAGAGGTGGGCCATCCCGAGTCTCGAAGAGGAAGTAGAAAGCTGGGTGAGCATGTGCAAAGGGCTTGTCTCCTCTTCTTCCTCCTCCTCAAGGTGACCCTCCTGCAGATCAAGGCACCTGCCCAGGAAGTGCCCTCCAGCCCTCGGTTACTCATCAGAAAAGCTTCTTCCACCTCCACCCCACTACACTGCAGACCCCAGGGTTATTCGTCACTGTCCACCGCCCAGCATCCTCCCTGGGGTTATTGGCAATTAAGCCATTGCCTGCAGGAGCCTTACTTTGTTCTCGGTATCTGAGAGGATGACGTCCTGCTGGGACACAATTTCCATAGGACTGGTCAGGAACGAATCTTCTTCTAAGCTAGCCTCTCCACTGTCTGCCTTCTTCACAGGAATGGCATTGGGTGGTGGCTGCCCAAACTTGATGTTCTTGCTCAACTGTCGCTGGGGAGAAACAAAAGGAAGACGTTGTGAAGCAGTGAAGCAGTTCACAGCAGCCACAGCCGGGCTCCCCTGCATATCTAGTAGGCACTGAGGCATATTCTATACACAACGGCTTTTAGACTAAACACCATGCCAGCAAACCACGCTGCAGTCCTGTCATCAGTGAATGTGCTTTCCAGCGTCTGTTCTTTTTCTTTCCCACCTTCGAGCCATGGGCCTTTTCATCCAGCCACCTCTTTCATGGAGATGCCATCGTTTTCCAGGGGGTACAGAGACTGTATTTCTGAACCGACAGTTGGGATATATGTTATGACAAAAAGTTTTTGATTGACCTCCAAATTACTTTATATAAAAAGTCTTTTCAAGGTACAAAAATTGTATAGAAAATAGTTACATGAAATGCAGGAACCCCTGGGGGAAATCAAGACCCTTGTGATTGCTGTATCCAGGTTCCTTTGGATACATTTCCCTTGAATATTTATGCTTCAACTACCTTCTTCGCCAGCCGTGAGCTTGAATGTTCTGCTAAGGTGAAGATGGCCCCAGGGCCAGCAGCACGTCTTTCCATGACCAGTGCTGAAATCACAGAAGGGACAGGAACAACCCTGTGCTGCCACCAGGACCTGCTCTTTGCTGTCTGCCCTCTGTGAACTAGGGGACAGAAGACACCAATGGGGAAGGGACAGAGGAGACAGGCACCAAGGAGGGACTGCTTACTGGTGGGTGGTAGCCAAAAGGATAGGGAGGAGGGAGGGAAAACCAGGGAGCAGAAATTAGGAAGAAAAATAGTATTTGAATTAGAGAAAAGTCAGATTAGAAAAGGAAATATATATTCCCTGAAGAAAAATACATACACACAATAGCTAAAGAAGGGGAAAAATATTTAATGGGCTGTGATAGAGAAAATGAAGGACATTCAGAAAAAAAAAGAAGTATGCTATGACATTCTGAAAGGCTACTAAATTGAGTATATTATACAAACGACCTACTACCTTGATTGAGATCAGGTTTTCTCAACCTCGGCACTATTGACATTTTGGGCCAGATAATTCTTTGTTGTGGGGAGCTGTTCTGTGCATTACAGGGTGTTTGGCAGCACCCATGGCCTCTGGACACTAACTAGGTGCCAGTAGCAATCCCTTTTCCCACAGTCGAGACAACTGAAAATGTCTCCAGACATTGCCCAATGTCCCTTGGGTGGTAAAATTACCTCTGGCTGAGACCTACTGCTCTGGATCTAGGTACTTGGGTTTCATAATTCTTTTATGCCTCAAAAAAAAAGAGACTACATTATCTGATATTTATCTTTAATCTGGCTAATATTTAATCCCACAGAGCTGCAAAGAGCCTTAGCAATCATATAGTCTAATCTCTCACTTTGCAAAAAAGTTGGAGGTACAGTAGGGAGAGGTGACTGGCCCAAGCTTATGGGAAGAAAAAGTGGCCCCAAAGGAATCTGAATCTAGGTCTTCTAAAACCACATTCAGTGTTATTTGCATTGCACTCCACTAGTTTTCACAAATCTGACATCACATTTCCTTCATACAGGGGCAGGAATAAAGACATGGTGCAGCATTTTTTATACCTTACTGAAGTGCCCTGGCAGAGGGACCCCTCAAGGAAAATGCCCCTTCCTCCTCTAAACTCAAGGGTACCAAATCCACCCACCTGCACCCAGCTCCCCACTGGCCTCGCTTGGTGGATGGTGAGATTGCAGAGACATGAACGAGATGAGCCCAAGACTCTCCTCCCCGCACCCCACGGGCACCCCAGCATGCCAAGTCAGGAGCACAGAAAGACAAGGACTTGTATTTGATCTGCTGGTATTTCAGCCTGAGCCTGGCTCCCCTGGCACCAAGGGCAGGCGCGCACATCAAAAGCCCGAGTCCAGCCAGTCAAGTACAGCTTGAGCAGCCTAAAAGGGTTTTGGGGAGGAGAAGACTGAAAAACAATATCTTCTAAAAACAAGTTTAGCAGGAAGCAGCAGTTAGTAACTACTCTAAGCAGCTCAATAAGCAGACACAGTTAGAATAGCCGATGGAGTTAGACAAGAGGACATGGTGTAACAAAGTCATAGGCCCGTCTCACGGTGTTGTCCTATAGGAGAGGGAGGGATGGGAACCCGGGCAGAAGAGGTGGGAATGGTTCCTGTGTCTGGGACTCCCAGCCCAGCCTTTGGTTGACCAGTTATAGCTTCTCTACGCATACTGACCAAGAGCTGGGACCTCCTGTTGGGGCTCTGCTATTTACTAATGCTCCTGAATGACTAAATGAGGGGGTTTCTTCTACTTACAATGAAAAGAATAATTCTTTAATGAGCTTCCAAGCAGAAACTGGCCTAATACTACAATGCCATTTAGTTAGGATTTTTGCCACCATCACAAAAAAGAATGAGTATGTTGATGTGAGTATGTTCATTAGGGCCCTTTTTAGAATACTGATGTTGGTCTACCCTGATGCTTGGGACAAAAAAAGAGTGTGGCAAAATGTAATCAGAGTCTAGGCTGAAATAAATTCCAAAGATGGGATGACTATCAGGGCTCCCAGTGGAAAAGAAGAGAAAATGGAAGAAAAGAAAGGGGGATGAGAACAGGAGAAGTAAAGTACACGGGGCAAAGCGGGGAAACGGAAAGAGTCGTGTTAGGAAATGAAGTCAAGTGTTAAAGAAGAGAAGCCAGGGGAGGAGAGGAAGCTGCAGGGTCAGAGGAAATGCACGGAGAGCAGGAGTCACAAGAGCCCTGCAGGCACAGCAGCTGAAGGTTGGAGCTGGGGAGGAGAGGGAAAAGGAGGGAGAGGGAGAGAGGGAGAATGTATACATACAACAAAGGGCTGATTTTGTCACAGATATGTTCCTCCCGGCAAAAGAAACACACGCTGTTACAGCCCCTGAGGATGACAACGTGCATCTCCTAAACGCAGCCGATTTAAGTTCCCTCCAGAGAAAATAAATCCAGGCTGGTGGCTGGGGAGCTTACCAGGAGGAAGTGGGATGGAGGAAGGGAGAACCCAGGTCATCAGAGAAATGACAGCCCGGTTAGGGATAGGGCTGCCAAACGAAGGATTGCCTTCACCGACATGCCCTGCGGCTGCCAGAAATGAGTCAGTGAAACAAGGCCAGGCCGGACTTGGGGTACCAGGCCACGGCCACTGATGCTCAGGCTCTGGAGGTGAAAGCTCTTGCACCGGCACATTTCCCCTTCTCTGCAGTTCCTGCTCCACATGCTTCCTTTAGCTGACTCGAAGACTGGGCTGTCACCACACTTTGTGTGATTTATTGACAATTAAAACGTTCATGCTAAAACCTATTTGGCAAGCTCAGGTGTTGCGTGAACTGAATACAGGGATAAATGTGGCTTTTTTTGTGACTTTAATTCTGCCCACTATTCAAGCATTGTCATAAAAAGAGCCTTGATATAAGCAATCACTGAAAAACAGAAGGCTGTGAGCTTGCCCTTAAGTTTTCAAAGAAAACTACCACCATTCCCTCCACTTTTCTTTTTTTAAATACCCGTGGCTCTTTATACACACTGCAATTAAAACCAAAGAGGAGAGTGGAAAGCTGTGCCTACACTAGAGTCCATGTTGCCTGTGGCTATGAATGGTGTTACTGTTGAGACTGGAATGTGAGCTAAAAAGGACTATATTTTATTCATTCAAATTGGGCCATTTTGTTGTAATATGGAATGTTGGGAAATGATGTTATAGGAATGTACATCCATATTTATGAGGTGTTTTTTTTTACAGTGTGGAAATTCCAAGCATATCATATTCTGCAGCTCTCACACTGCCAGTGTTTAGAGTTCCCTAGATTTTTTTCATTCTTCAGACCATGTATGTAAGAAAAACAGTGGCAAAAGAAAGATACTGTTTCTCGAGTGAACTACAGACATTCCCATAGTTAAAATGATTTTTTTTAATGCAAAAGCAAAAGCATACAATATGCTCTATGAAGAAGTGGCCTAAGAGAAGGTATTTATTCTTTGTGTCCTCGACAGCTGCATGAGGTGTCAAAATCCTCAAACGTATGACACTTGGGCATTTTTAAGTGAAATCCAGCCCAGCAGAAGACAGTAGCTACGAGGATGGAGGTTCTCCTTTCTGAGCTAGTCTGTGGACTAATAGGCTAAGCATTTCCTGACAAAAGTGTGGCATAATTCTAAAAATTACCTTCAGGCTTAGACTGTGGTGTTTCCTGAGTTTTACCATTAGTTGGTAGACATGTCACACCTGGTCTGATCTAAAATAAACAGGCACCTCCCTGATCTGTGTTCTCGGTAGCAGGGGAGAGCATCAAGGTCATTGTAGTCCAAATGCAACAAAGTGCATAGCTTACAGAGCCACTCTGTGCTATACCAGGTGAACAGTGGTTTTGTATAGATGGCAGATTTTCAGAACTGGAGGGGCCTTTAGGGTCATCCCTCACATACATGCTCTTAGTTTTCAGATGGGGACCATGAAGGTCAGAGAGGTTAAATGACTTTATCCGAGGCCACACATTCAGGTGGCGGCAGACGCCTGCCTTATTTTACCCACTGGCCAAGAACAACTATTAGGTATAGAGTCCTCAAAAAGGACACCACTGTTTTTGTCCCTATACCTGTCCCACGTATTAAAATGTATTCTCCATATATGCATGTATTTTTATATTAAGAAGCAACAATTTTTTTCTTTTAAAGTTTTAGTCTTTTGCCACAGAAATTTTCATAGGGGGGTAGATTCATTTTATTCAGAAAAGCGTAGGCTTCTTTATGCTGTCTTCATTCATTCCGCATCCTGTAGAGATACTATCAGCCGCGGGTGCAAATGACAGTTTTGGCTGAGATGAAAACATGTGACCACAAGAGGGCAACCTTTCCAAATGCTGTCACTACAGGCAATCTTCTGTGTGTTTCTACGGACTGGGAAGTTTCCTAAGTCGGAGAAAAATGGCTTTTTTTTTTTAATGGCATTCCAGTAGAAATCTCATTTCAAAAGAATGTCTTAATAATGGAGGCTAATCAGCTTGCCAGGACATTTACTGTCAAATAGGAGCTATCCATTACTTTTCTCTCCCTCTCTTTTTCAGATAAATATACACAGATACACAAAGACAATTTTAGACATGAAAAAACATACATGCCTCTGACGTAACTAAACACCCTCATTCCATGCTGGAGTCTACGAGAGGCAGTCTTTTATGCTGCTTACTAAGCATCAATACCAGCATAATGTTGTCATGGAAAAATGCAAAGCATTCATGCAATTTAATAAAGTTAACTACTATTTCTATGACTTACCAGGAACATACTGCTTAGTCGACTGAAAAATAAAGCACAGTCTTTTGGGGGGGTGATACAGTTATATCTTATGTCAATCTAATAATCACATTTTCTAAAATAATGGTTTCCATTTTCCTCCGCGAACAGCAAAACCTTTTATTTTTAAAAAACATAACTATAGAGCTGTAAGGAAGCTTGTGAATCCATACAGCAGAAGCAAAATTAGGAAAACCTCGTATGAGTAGATATTGTCAAAAGAGAGCACTCAAAATAGATAGTTATTCTGCTTTATTCACATCTCTCTTCCTGTGTTAATAGACTTTTTGCTTCAGAGAAGTTGGTTGTTTTACATTTTATTAATTATGAGGTCAGGTTCTTTAAAATTGTGCCTTACTGCTAATAGGAATAATAGGCAGTTACATATTTTTATGGTTTCTATGTTTTCAATACTGCAGAATTATGTGTCATTTACAACTCCAAAGCCACGTCTTGGCATGGCAGTGGCATGTGTTGTGATGTTACATAGCAGATATCATTTAAGACAATGAACTGTTATTTAATTTTTAAAGAACTCCTAGAAAGCCCTCATAAAATACAGCTGTTTTCGTGGACTGAAATCTGTTAAGTCACTCCTCTTAGAAAGGGGATATTATGAGCCAGGGGGTCCAGAACTTCTTAGGAATAATATTCCAGGAATCAAAAGACTTCCAAGAAGGAAAGGTAGAAGTGGGGGTGGGGGTGGGGAGTGTCAAGGTTTTCTTTGGCCATCACCATCCTTCTGTTTTTTTCAATCTAGGAGAAGTGACAGCTTGATTTTTTTCTTCTGAGTCTATAAAATGTGGACCAGCACAACCAGCAAGAGCCAAGAAAGCAACCTGGTTAGGAAATGCTGGAATTTGAAGGACGCGCCCAGGTTAAGCTCTGAGGGCAGGACTATGGCCTTTGGCTGTAGGCAGATCTAGGTAGGTTTGGGTGTGGCTCCAGGGTTTTGCCTATTTCCTCACTTGCCATATGTTATATTCAGCTGAGTGTGTGCGCAGAATATGTAACCAAACACCGATCATGAAATATGCAGCTAATGTTCAGTAGAAACAAGAACATTTCAAGAAAATAAAAAATTTTCTTTGAGTACAAGGCTTCATCATGTCAGTAGCTACTCAAGCCAGCTGTTCCTTTTTTTGCTCATTTATTCACTCATTCATTCATTGTTGGAGACTTACAGACAGATGGAAACCAGCAAACCAGAGTCCCCACGTTCATAATATGGATTGTCTCCAGGCACTCCTGTTTCAAGGAAGTACCAACTTAGGCACTTCTGTCGGGGGAGTGAATTCTTTCATGCAGTTGGGCAGACGACACAGTCAGCTCCTCTGCTTTTCCTGGACTCCCCATTATTTCAATCACATTTAGTGAAGAATTATTTTATTTATTATACAGTTGACTCTTGAACAATGCAGGGTTAGGGGCACTGACCACCCCACTGCCCCCAAACACACACACACACAGTTGAAAAAGCCACATATAACTTTTGACTCCCTCAAAACTTAACTACTGTTGAGGTAGCCTTACCAGTAATATAAACAATCGATTAACACATATTTTGTATGTTATAGGTATTAAATATTGATTTGTTACAATAAACTAGAGAAAAGAAAATGTTATTAAGAAAATCATAAGAGAAAATACATTTACAGTATTTATTGCAAAAAATCCGCACATAAGTGGACCCGTGCAGCTCAAACCCATATTGTTCAAGGATCAACTGTATTTTCATTATTAAGGAGTCAGTTTCATGTAGGAAAACTGCCCAATTTTGCAGCGTGAACAGGGGGGCAGGTTTAAGAGCTTCATGGTATTCCTCTGAGATAAGGTGACTCGGGGGGGGGGGGCAGACTTATAAACACAACAAAATTGGAGTCTCGCCATTCACTGTCCAAGTATGGGGACTTGGAAAGAGGACACATGCTGTGCAAACCCTCAGTTGACAGTCAACCCTGTACTTGGGAGATTATGGCCAAAAGTTAAGGTCAAGGACTCTTTCTTCCCATGCAAATCAGGCAGCTTCTTTTGGGTACTTGTCCTCATGATGTCCACTTAAAAACCAGGGAACAATGTGAGAGAAAAGGAGGTGGGGGTTATTATGAAGGTGGGTACAGTGGTGGCAACTGTACCTCTCACAGGTGGACAGAAGGCTTAGAAAACTGAGTCAGTTTCAAAAAAGCAAAAATTCTCACCAGGAGCTTCCCCTGGACCTCCCAATCCATTACTCAAGGCCAAGCTGAGGGGGGTTTTTCCCACTTTCGTTAGTAGCCGGGTCCCCTCCTGTGGCTCTAACTCTCCAATCTCAAGCTGTCTTACCTGAAGAGTTTTGACTTTGCCCAGGATGTTGTCCTGTGACATTGCTTGAACTGTCTGCTCACTTTCTGCTCCCCCATCAGGGATAAAAATACTGTCATGGGAAAACGCCCGCGTTCCCATTGAATAGTTGAAGGACCTGGAATGCAAATCATGTGCTTCGTTTTATTAGGATGATAAAATTTCTTTTGGCAATTCAGCTTCCTGCTCCTCCTGGTCCCGGGGGACCCCACCCCCAGCCCGTCTCCTCCAGCACTGTGCCCTCTCCTGCTATGGGTCAGCCAAGTACCTGGGGAGACAGGAAGAAGGGAGCATGTCTCCAACACAACAACATTTTAGAGCCACTCACTGAGAACACAGACAGTTATTTATTTGTAAAAGACCCAGGACAGAAGGCACTACAGACATTTTTACTGGAGGAGCCTTTCTCCTGACGAGCTGTCACTTTTAGTTTTATCCCAGTAAATCTTGTCAACTTGCACTTTTTAAGGAACAGGCAGATCTGGAAGAGGCGAGAGCTTCTTTCTTTCAAATTATGATCAAATCAGAAGACATGTATATCTAAAACAAAGACTTGACAAGGACTAGAATTGCCGATAGGGACCAAAGGAATGAAGATTCTCTTTGGTGAGGCTCTTAAGGAATTCAGAGAAAGGGGGAAGAAATGTGTTAGGGCAATTCTGACAGGCGTCATGCACATTGAGAAACTTATAGGTGGTAGGTACCCCGAAATAAACGCTTTTCAGTTGAAGGGTTGGACTTCAAAGAAGTCCAGAATTCTACCTGACGGTGAGGGATAGGCAGGGTGCACTGAAGAAGCCAACTCTTCCATATTGTATATTGGAAACTAATTTATCTCTGGCAAAGGAATACACATCCAGGCTGTTCACAGGGCAGGCAGAATCGCACACCCTCTGTAAGGCAAGGCAGCACACTTCTATGATGCCAGGCACAGGGGCAGCACCCCAGGGGGGAGAGAGCTCCACTTCTCTCCCCTCCCCAGAAAGGGGCCCCACCTGGTGCCTCTGAGCTGAATACAGAAATGTAGTGGGCAGGGTCCCAACCACATTTAGTTGGGAAGAGCAAGTACCAAATTACATAAATTTGCCAAATTACAGGCAGCATGGTAAAAAAGCATACGAAGTTAAGAAACAAAAGTCTTAGATGTGAGCCTCCTGGTTGTGTGATTTTATGCAAAAAAAAAAAATCATCATCATCACCACCACCACCACCACCACCACCACCACCCCTTACTTTGATGAAAACACTATGCTGACTTTTACTTTCATTACCTCATCACCAACATCTTGTTGCAGATGAAACTCAGGGGGTAAATAACCTCATCTAAAGTCACCCAAATAGAAGTAGTAGAGTAAGAAACTGAATTCAGATCTGTTGAATACAATCCCATGCTAGCTAGGTGAAGTGTTTTAAAATGGTGGAAGGTCTTTCTTAGAGTATTCCCTCCCATGAGTGAACTGGAGTATGGGTGCGTCAGTGGGAGGGGAAGACAGGATGCAAATGACATGAGGGCTGGAATACCGGCAGATTGAAGACACTACACAGGTAGAATAATGGGTAAGCCTTTGGCTAAATAACACAAGCTGCCACAGAGCAGCAACCCACTGTATGAAATACGGGGCATTATTTTAGGATACAAATATGAATATAGAGGGAAATGAAACATATCATTATGTCCCTGTCCTCAGAGAATCTGTGACCTATGCTACAAGATGAACTTCTAGGTTCACCTAGAAGGTGCTGTGAAATAAACTTTTCATTCCAAGTTGTGGACTCAAACCTTTTAATATTCTTCTGTCTGAACGTCTCTGTAGGATTCCTGGCTATGATCCAGATGCGAGAAGAGGTAACTGACTCCATTTCTACACAGTGGTTTTACAAATGACTTATATACAAAACAGGCTCTCAGAGAGTCACACAAACACATATATGCACAAGTCCATTTTAGATGCTTAATATGCTTACTAGTGTCTTACAGGTGTCTGTACATGATACACCAGCGCTATGCCAAGTTCCCTTCCAGTTTCTAAGTCAGTCTTGACTAAAGCATGAACTGTTCCCATTCTTTTTTCCAGATAGGCTAAGAATCGACACTCGCCTGCTCTTCTGTTGCTCCAAATGTTCCTTGTTGCCAACCAGGATTTGATGTTCACCCATTCCCCAATTTCAGATGATCATATTTTAAAATAGAGAAAGTGAACAGTAATAATAATAGTGGTAGTAGTAATAATTATTAATAGTGTTAGTCACAGGGATAATATTAATACTAGCTAAATTTTATCAAGTATTTGCCATGTACCTTGCATATGTGCTAACCTCTTTAATATTGAAATCTTTTTGATACACACATATAATATTTAAGCCTTATGTGGTAGGCACTATTACTAAGTCAATTTTATAGATGAGGAAAATAAGGCTTGAAGACAGTGAGTGAGTTGTCATATATCTGTATATATGTGAATATGTTTCTGGTCTCTGTTCCATTGGTCTACTTGTCTATACTTTTAGTAATAATCCTGCACTGTCTTAATTACTATAGCTTTTTACTGAGTGTTTGGTATCTAGTAAAGTTCTCTAGCTTTGATTTTTTTCAAGTCTCTTTGCAATTCTACATAAATTCACACACACACACACACACACACACACACACACACACACACACACACACCACACTCTAACACACTCCTAGGATTGCTTTTGTGATAGCACTGGATCTATAAATAAATTTGGGGATAACTGACACATTTACAATATTCAGTCTTTTAATCTATGAACATTGGCTATCCCTTCATTTATTTAGATCCTCTTTATCTTCTCAAGGTTTTGTAGTTTTGTGTGTAGAGGTCTTACACCTATTTTGATAGATTTATTTCTACATATTTGATGTTTCTGAATCTACTGTATATAGGTTAAAATTTTTATTTTTAATTGTTTATTGGTAGAATATTAAAATACAACTGATTTTTAGATATTGATCTTACAAATTGGCTTATTTGGTCTTTCTATGTATATGATCAGGTTGCCTGTGACAAAGAAAAGTTTCATTTATTCATTTTTAATTTTACTTTCTTTTTTTTTTTGCCACAGTGCATTGGCTAGAGTCTTCATACAAAGCTGAATAGAAGTGGTGATGGTAGACTTTGTCATGTTCCAAAACTGAGCAAGAAAGTTTTCAATTTTACTGTTAACTTATGATGTTACTTATAGAATTTTTGTAGATTACAATACTGCTTGTTTGAGAAGACAGGCAGTGTATTCTATTTATAACTGATTTTAAGATTTTTTTTGTCTTTTGTTTTCAGCAGTTGTAAGTTGATGTGACTTACCCAGCTGAGGGTACATGATACTTCTTAAACCTATGGCTTGGTCTCTTTTATCAATTTTGGAAAATTCTTAGCCATTACCTCTTCAAATATTGCTTCTGACCCATTTTTCCACTATTCTCCCTCTGTTTCTCCAATGTTAGAACTTTTCACCATGAGTCATATGTCTTTATGCTGTTTTCTGTATCTGCCATTCTTTTTATTCAATATGATTCTGTCTGCATTTTTCTACTGACTTAGCCTTCAGCTCATTTAATTCTCTTTAGTTGTGCCATCTGCTGTTAAAACCATCTACTGAGTTCTTAATTTCAGTAGTGTTTTTCAGATCTAGAATTTCCCTTTAATTCTTTTTAGTAGATTCTAGTTCTTTGGTGAAATTCTCCATCTTGCTACCTGTTTTGTTGAATATATTAACCACAATTATTTAAGTCTCTGTCTGAAACTGCAATATCATAGTCCCCTTTGGGTCTATTTGTATTATCTTCTTTTCTTTCTTTTTTTTTTTAAGATTTTATTGGGGAATTGGGGGAGGGGAACAGTGCTGGGAAATCAGGGGAGGGGAACAGACAAGTTGCTGTCCTTTTGTTCTTCAGAGGACGTTGCTTCACTGGCCCATGTTGGTATTATCATTGTGCTCTTCTCGGGTGAGGCAGATGGGTCGCCGGCCTCTGGACGGCCACTCACGGCATGTATTATATTATTTTCCTCACAGCCTGTTTCTTAACTGCCTAGTAAGTTTTTTTTTTAATTGAATTCTACATATCATGCATAAAAAATTGTAGAGGCTGGGTTCTCTCCCTCCTGAGAGGATTCACTGGCTCCACTAGCTGACCTCAATCCAATGACCTCAGTCCAATCAGGGACTGAGCTGATCATGGTTGGTTAGCAATCTTTGTAAGACTCAGACTCCCTCTGCTTTGCTCCCCACTTCTAAGGTATAGGCCTCCTGGAGTCTCAACGAAGAACCTGGGTCATTTCCTAAGGTCCTCCTCCTTCGTGGGTCTGAAACCCCACTTTTTGTCTTTCTAGCACCCCAGACTGCCCCAAACTCTGCCTTATTTTTCAGCCTCTATCCCTGTTAGAGTTCAACAAATGCCTCAAAAGGAAAATTGTTGCCTAGATTTATGCTCATTCTTCTGGGCTTCTCTTCTCTTAGGGGTTTTAGTCCCTCAAGTCCTGGCTGTCTGGGCAGCCTCAAACTCTAGTTTTTGTGTTCCTGATCCCATGAATGGCTTACAGCTCTGCTGCCTTCTCCTCCTGGCAGCCACCGTCAGCCTGTTAGGGCTCTTGCCCTACACCAAGAGTCAACTAATGCCCACAGGAGAGAAGCAGTATGCAGAAAGGTGGGCTCAACTCAGTGGGCTTTCCCTTCTCTCCAGGACCTCGCTGCTCACATCTGGTGCCTCAGCAGCAATCTGATGCCTTCAAAAAGATGGTCTTTGTTTTAATATTCTATCCATATTTCTAGTTGTTCTTGGTGGGAGCAATCATTTGCTACAAGCTATTTCATCACAGCCATAAGTGGAAGTAATTAACTTTTTGCTATTTATTACGTTTCTACATGCCAGAACCTACTTATGGATATGGTCACTTTTCAAAGTGACCAAAAGCATTTTCTTCTTGTACCTGGTTTTTGCCCCATTTTAAAGCTCTGAGAAGAAACAGTGGAGGAGAATGGTAATTGGTTTATTAGTTACATGAATGGACAATCTCGTCTAAATAATTCTATTTACATAATGTAAATTAACATTAAATCCTTGTCAATTTGGCTAATTAAAATTTTTGGTAATCATAG